AACGTTTCAAAGTATTAAACATAAAACCTTCTGGTATATCTAGTTTCAAAATGAATCATTAATAGTCCTACTAAATGGGAATACTGTGATGAAGTGGTATGCTTATTAATAATCAAACAGAAATTTGACAGTAGTTGTCGGATTTACAAGAAAACAATAATATCCCGTGAAATATTTTGTGCATCATTATCTAAATCGAATTAGAGGAATAATTGTATTGATTTTTACCGATACGTTTTTAATTGCACAACATCAATAGCAAACAGTTTATAAGGGATTGATTTGTACACTTTTAGGGAAATAAATGTTTAGCAATGAGTTATCTTTCAATGGGTCGGCGATAAGAGAAATAATTGTATTGATTTTTACCCATATATTTTTAAATGCACAACATTAATAGCAAACAGTTTAAAAGGGATTGATTTGAACATTTTTAGGGAAATAAATGTTTAGCAATGAGTTATCTTTCAGTGTGTCAGCGATAAGTTCATGAACTTACAACGGGATTCGATTCCTCACAGTGAAATGAACGCAGGTAGCCCATTGTGTAGTTTTGTGTTAAACAAACCAACAAGTCAATGAGTTCTATATAATTGTTTTAAGGTTTATCTTTATAAATGTAGGTATTCACACACACTGCCTTCCAATCGAATATTTTTTCTACTATAGCCAGCATTTGAACAGAAAATAAGAAGCAAAATAAGAAACACTCTAAAGAATTGATGCGATTTATGACATTATAGTTTGTTAAAAATTGACAAATTTTGTTAAATTGTTGTTAGAAACTTCTGAAACATAAGCTATATGTTTGAATGTCTATTAGCAATAACAGGTTTTTGCATTGTACATTAACTATTAAATGAATTTTTCAATTGCAAAATTGCAAGTAAAACATAAGTATTACAGCATGAGTTTATTTAAAACTATGAAATGCTGTAAATACAACTTTAATATTACGTTGTGTACAGATATCACTATTTTTAGTGTACCAGTAGTAAGCTAGCTGATCCAAGTAATGTTTGTTTATTTGTTTTTTTGAATTTCGCGCAAAGCTACACGAAGGTTATCTGCGCTAGCCGTCCCTAATTTCGCATTGTAAGACTAGAGGGAAGGTAGCTAGTCAGCACCATCCACCGCCAACTCTTGGGCTTCTTTTACCAACGAATAGTGGGAATGACCGTCACATTATAACGCCCCCACGGCTGAAAGGGCGAGCATGTTTGGTAGGACGGAGATTGGAACCCGCGACCCGCAGATTGGGAGTCGAGCGCCTTAACCATCTGGCCATGCCGGGCTTATCCAAGTAATACTTAATGTTTCGTAGTTATCATTCATGACATGAGGCTATTATTATTGTAAAGAAAGTTCCGACATCATGTACGGATGGTCGATTTCAGGGGATTGGACGAACTGAAAAAAATATGAAGAATGTTATTCTTGATGTGTGATAAATACCTGAGGGTATATCCTAGACAACGAAGCTACAAAGAAACAGGGCGGATTCCGAAATTTTTTGGAACTAAGCAAGAGCACTAACAACAAAGAAATGGGACGAATCCCGAAAATCTTAGGAAAGAACTAGTAACATCAGCTTTAAAGAAACAGGATGAACCCCAAAATTCTATGAAAATAAAATACGGCACTAACTACATAGAAGCGGAACGGATTCCGAAAATTTTTAAAAAGAAGCTATGACACTAACTACATAGAAACGGCAAATATTTTCGGGATCTGTCCCGCTTCTATGTAGTTAGTGTCATAGCTTCCTTTCAAAGATTTTTGGGATCCGTTAAAGGAAGCTATGACACTAACTACATAGAAGCGGGACGGATCCCAAAAATCTTTGAAAGGAAGCTATGACACTAACTACATAGAAGCGGGACGGATCCCAAAAACCTTTGAAAGGAAGCTATGACATTAACTAGGTAGAAGCAGAACTGATCCTGAAAAGTTTTGCCAATATTCGACCTTAACTACAGACCAACCATTAACATCAGATGTTATTTTAAAATCTGTTTGAAGGATTATTTGAGTTAAATATATTAAAATAACGAGCTCTTAGTAAGGACAGTTTGAACATTTTAAGACTACGCACGCACGCACACACACAAAAAACTCCGTTCGACTTCTCATTTATCAACGCAAAATAAAAACAGATTTAATGAATTACAAATTACGTGATCAAAGCACATTTTATTCGGAAAATATTCTTAAATGTTTTCTAATGCATATCTCAATAATTAAAGCGCATTCTTGGATCATACAAATGTATGAGTAAACTCATGGTTAGCACATGATCTTCACAATTACATTTACTAATGTTGAAAAATTTTGTACCACATTGATGATATTTGTTTACCTTGCAGAACACGTCTTTGCTTTAAAGATTTTTTCCTGGTTTACTTCATCGGTGGCATTTTAACAAAGGCTTTTAGTAATAAACATATATATATTACTCCTCAATAAGTTTACATTTGCTACAGCGATTAAGCTGTATTTCATATACAACCAATGTTTTACATTTTTATTAAATTAGTGTTACAACTTTGCTTAGATCGTAAATAAAATTAAACATTCTTGTTTATGGATATACTAATTTTCTCTTTAGGGTTTTGTACAAACCAAGCCGTTTCTATGGATACATACTAAATTTTGATAAGTGCAATTATTTTGGTTATGTAGCTATTTAATATTAATTATTGACGTGTATCTAGTTCTAAACTGGTAACAACAAATGTTGCCCTGAAACCGTAAATAATTGTTATTAACAATTATATTTTGAATGAGCTTATCTCTTATTTTTGGATTAATAAGTAATCTATTATACACCATCCTTTTCAAACTCATTTATTTACAATGATTCCGCTTTGTAAATCAGATTTTCGTGAAGCTAACTAATTAAGACACTTTAAAATATTATGTAAGATACTTTATTGGCTAATACATTTCTTTAAAAATTAATAATTTCTAATAAAAATATTTGAATTTGCTTATTTAACTTAAAACTGAAAACAATATATATTTTTTATTCCTTTTTTCTATTTCGTTTTCGAATTGAAGTGCTTATCTAGTTATTTGAGGAGAAATGGGTGAAACAGTTTTGTATATTAAAACATGTCTACATTGCCTAGTGACAGTAAACTTATCGTTATTGAAAGTTTAAAATATACTTAAAACTTTATAAAAATGTAAAATGTTTTATGTTATGAAAATATTCTGTATTATTAATGGCGCTTCAACTAGAAAATCTGAAATCAACTGTCTCTAGAAATATATTTCGATTATAAACTCGATTTAATTACAGATATAGGGATTCCAAAACACGATGATTTTACTTGAATACAGGGAAATGTGACAAAAGCATTGTTAACTGAAACTTTTGGTTAAAAATAATTTAATCTGCTTCGTATATATATGCATTAGATTTAAAAAAAATTAACAAGGAAATAATACAAGGAAAAATTGGCGATACATATTTATATAGATAGTATTCTGGATGTACTTGTAACATTTTGCAATTATTTACGTCCTGCAACAGTAAATCAATTTTGAAAACATAGCAACGTTAAGTGAAAAAGTTATGTAGCCAACTTCATTTAAAATGTAAATACTTCCACCAATGTAGTGTTGGGGTAGAGAAATATTATTTTGAACTTGGTAAAAAGTTGTTTTACTGTTAATAATGGTGCTTTAAATGCTTAAATAAGGCCTATCTGTTCTTCCATTGTAGTGACTTACGGTGCAGTGCTTTATGTTACCCTACTACTGCTGTGACGTTTCTAAATATTATGTGTAATATTACGTTAGATATTTTTCTAAAGAAGTTAAAACATGCAACAGATACTACCGGGGTCTACACTGCGTTATTCACATCGTACTTCTACCACGTTCCCGGTTTTCATTTTAGAAAATTTTCCAAGTTCAGAACGAATTGCCATACTCAAAATGATGTTACGATAATCCATTGTAAAGCTAGAGCTTTCTGTGGACTTTTCATGTCTTGGTTTTTCAGATTGACGATATTTTGAACTTTACTTTGGAGATTTCTCTTGGAAAAGGCTTCCCTTTAAAGTCCGATGTGTCGTCCATTTTAAAGAACCATGTTAGGAGTAATCCATAAAGAATTCTAGTTCTACAATTTCTACTCTGCTTAATTCTTCAATAAAAAATAATCAACGTAGAGTTCAGTGTATTTGAGATTTAGAACGAAGAATAAAGCTTACTGATTTTATCTGCTTGAATTAGTTTATAAAATAAAAAATCTGCAAAACACTAAAGAAAATTATTTAATGTTTATTGGGCACAGGTTGACTTTGTGATAGAGTCCTAGATTCCTTAGCTGGCGACCCATGTTCAAATCTGTGCGGTACCACAAAATATTTCCCGCACTATAAGCTGTGGGTGAGTTACAAGAGCAATAATCAGCCACTTAGCGTGGTTGGTGTGCGATAAGGATGTTGTTAATTGGCTGCTTTCCCTCTGATCTGTAGTTCATAATTAGAGACAGCGGAATATAGCTCTAGTACTTTCGCCATAAATGGAAATTGCAAATTCAATTTTTGTCTACTTTATGTCCACAGTACTTTTAGCTGTTTGTCCAGTTTGTTAATCCTATTGCACGAAATGTTTTAAATCAAGAATCAGCTTCTGATTATAGGGTAAACGTAATTTTATATATAATATAAAAAAGGTGAGTAAAACAATCCTTTTTCCTTTTCTTAATCTTAACAATCAAAAGCATATCAGTGGCATATTAAGCACTTATTATTTCTTTCAGAGTCAAATTCTAATAAAAAAAAATCTATTGACTCGTTAATATTTTAGAAGGACGGGACAGTTTTATTAGCTATTAGATTCATTTGAAGACATGACTTCAATTCCCGGCTGATTCGATGTGTTATTGGATAACCTGTTAAGGCACTTTATTCATGTTGTACATGTCATTTTGTATCGGCAAATTAATTGCTTCGTATTCGACAGGATTCAGCGACCCCTACTGTATGTTAGGAATATTAGCTGGAGGTTTGCAGGAGAGCAGAAGGAATTCTGACGAGGATGGAGAACGAAGTCGTAATAGTCCCAGACGTCAAGGTTTAAGGAAGTTTGGTGCTTCCTTCAAACGCAGAGATCGAAGCAGGAGCAACAGTACCACAGAAAATCTACCTGCAAAATTTATTCGCACCACCACCGTCAAACCTCATACGTTGAACCCTAAATGGAACGAAAAGTTTCGCTTGTAAGTTCAATTATCAATACGTGCAGAGCGAATTATTTTCTCTCATGGAATAATGTATTTGTAGAGATACTTCAAATACGACATTATCATCCCTTACAGTATCTGTTTCTAACAACATGAACTCGATAGGCCTAACGTTATGATTTTATGAAGTAAACTCATAATATAAAAATGTGTTTTTAAATAGACATTTAAGGACTACAAAAATACTAACTATTTTCTACAAAATGGTTAAGACTAAAAGCTAACGGACTCGTGACAGAATATGTTTATAACAATTACAAATATTAAGTATCATATTATAACCTAAACTCATGAATACACTTGTTTCTGCAGATAAGTTAATGAACAAAATTGATATATCATACAAATCTGAATGACTCTAAAAATACAAAAGAAGTTTAAGATAATTCTAGTAGTTTCTTATCTGATATTCCACATTGTGTATCATTAGATTATACTTTATTTTAAAATATTATATGCAGATTATATTATAGTGTTTTTAGTTATTGTATGTATTGTTTTAGGGATATAGACGATGTTTTTACCGAAAAATTGCATCTCGACATATGGTAAGAGCAGTTTTAATGTTTTATTTGCAAGATAGTTTGCTACAAAATACCCAAGGAAAATGAAATATGAATTTTATGAAAGTGACCGATTCTAGTATATATTCAATGATTAGAAATATCTTAGTTGCTCAGGCCCAAAAACTGTTTTAAACGCGAATCACTTTCTCGTCTAATGTTATCTAGCTAAGAATTTAAGGGGCATAAGGATTTTCGCTCATTCTTAAAACCATGAGAAACTTATAAAAAAATTTAAGCACTTTGAAAAGCCTAGTTAATCTTGTACTTAACGTGAATTCTAAAACTCCAATGCAGGAATGAATACCTCACAAAGATTAGCTATTGTATGATATTACGAAAGCCGGTGTGTTAATTTATTTTTAAAATATTAACAGCATATTGTATCTTTATGTACCTGAATTCGATCAATTTGTCCTACACTTTAATTTTTTTAAAGGTTTATGAACATAAGTAACTAAAATACATTCTTGACATACATAAAATGTCTGGAAAAGATACAAGGTGATTGATGTTGGCAAATGTTTTGTTACATATTTAAAAAAAATAGTGCTTCATTTCGCTTTAATCGTGCCTGATAATATTTCAGTTAAATTACCATAGAATATGGAATTACATTAGCTCTTTAGGAATATTTAAAAGCTGAATTGAGAAGCAAATTATGTCAATTTTAGAATTATCCATCATCCACTTATTTAAATGACGAGGTTTATATATATATGTATATAATATTGTTGTCGAGGGTAACTCGTCACATTAATGAGCAGATGGCAGGTAATTTTTAAAAGTATTTACTAAACTAAATACTAAAGATAAGAGAATGATTAGTTTGGTTATTAGGTAAATAAGATTGAAGCTTATTAATTCTTATAGCTTACAAATATCTTGGTTGCTTATAGGGACCACGATGACGAAACATCCGTGTTTGACGCTGCACGCAAGTTAAATGAAGTATCTGGTCTGAAGGGTCTGGGAAGGTTAGTTTAGATGTTTATTACCCAATTATTATGCATATACCCAAAGTTGACCATAACAATAATCACGCTTTGGATGTCATAAATTTGAGATCATTTATTTATTATGGATATCAAGTGAAACGGTAGCTAATTATGTACATAAGATTGGAATAAGTAATCTTGTCTCTTTGTGTGAGACAAGGCTGAGAACTTTATTTGCTAAGTTGTACCAGACGAATATTTTAATTCACAAACTTTACATTTCAAGCTCCTAATTCAAAATGAAACGTCTATTGCTTACAAGAAAGGATACACGCACATATGTATACTTCCAGAGAATTTACCTTTTTTTTAGCCGCGGCATAGCGGCTCATAGAACGGCTCCGAGTTTTTTTTTCAAGTACAAACTTTTAGCTAATAGCCCCGTCATCTCTTGGCCGATTTGAGATCTAATTACAGTTTAGGACTAAGAAAGTTAAACCCTATTAATTGATGTATTTTACCACGCCCAGGGTCTCATAGGTTAATTTACTCTAATACTCCCTAAAATAATTTCAATTTAGGGTAGACTGGTATAAATCCTGATGAGTAATAAACCGGAATCAGGTATACGCGCCCCTTACGCTTGGTTTTGCTGAAGCACAAAGATATAGCTAATAAAAAGGGAATAAAGGTCTAATCGATTAATTTACTCTAATCCTGCCAAAAAATATTCAAGTGCCGCGGCTATTGAGGAATCCCTCTTGTTTTAATACTGAAGGAGGTATTCTTTGTCTCCTGTTCAAAAATATTCACATGTAAATAGAACAAAATCTATGACTGAAGACAATAAATATACTAAGAAACTGTTTATTGGGCTTAGCTATAGCAGGTGTGTTTCATTGTGACGGCCCGGCATGGCCAGGTGGTTAGGGCGCTCGACTCGCAATCTGAGAGTCGCGGATTTGAATACTCATCCCCCTCCCCCAAATATGCTTGCTCTTTCAGACGTGGGGGCGTTATAATGTGTCGATCAATCCCATTATTCAGTGGTAAAATAGTAGACCACGAGTTGGCAGTAGGTGGTGATGACTAGCTGCCTTCCCCCTAATCTTACACTGGTAAATTCAAAACAAACCAAACTAATTATTATGAAACTTACATAATTATTTATTAGACTTATCACAGTATTTTTACTACTTTATTCTTATTTCAGTTATATCCTGACTATTGTTATTCAGTGTTCTCTAACTATTGGCTAAAGTTACTTAAGGTGGTAGAGACTAATCAACCATTTTCAATGGGACTATCAATTACAATAACAGGTCATTTATTTAAAGAAAATGATAAATCATTTTAAAGTATCATCCATTTATACATTTACCATCTTTCTGTAAGCACAGATTTGAATATAGAAATATATAGTGCCAACTTTTAAATACATTGCAATAAATTAATGAAACAATGTATATTTTAATTTTACAAAATTATAAACTAATTGTGAGTTTGGCTGTTTTATATAGTTAAAAAAATACTTAATCACTTGATCTGGTTCAGATGATTTATCCACCGTTTCCTTATAAGATAGGTTGGCTAGTGACAGTTGTTTCAAAATGCTTACTAATATTCATTTATACTTTGTTCTAACACCCAGTCAACGAATCAGAGAAACACGTTTGGTGGGTTAATTCATAAGCAAAGCTTTCCAATACTACATTTTTCATTTCTGAATAGAGATTCGAACTTGCGATATCTGTAGCCTAAATTGCTCAACAGCGTAAGTGAATTCACTCTAGTTTCCAGGCTACGATGGAGTAAAACCCATTCACTAATACAGAACCCAACACTGAACACTGTATTGGCTGCACATGTTGCGTAGTACAACATTTGATTTTTTCAGCTCTATATACCGTTTTCTCCACGGTTTTCACGAGTTCTATCAACAGAAATGACCGAAAGAAAAACTCAACGAAGCTTACTTGGTGCTTTAATGTGGTTAATTGCGGTACATGCCTGAACACAGTCCGGCCAAGCTCCTAAACTCCGAATATTCGTGGCCGAACACTATTCAAAGGTGAATTATTTTGGCAGTAAAGCGTGTTTCTTTGAGGTTATCGATCAAGCCCGTTATTGGAGTACTTTTTTTTAGTTCTAACTTGAATACCGAAAACCGTGACACTAATTTCTAAATTGTAACCCCCTTAATTCTCCTGAAATCGGTCTCTGACTCGTAGACTGAGTGTTAACGAAATCAAGAGTAAAGACAAAAAATGTTAAAATGTGAAATAAAACTAAGTACAATATACTGATAAAGGCCAAAAAATAAAAAATGAAGCATTGTATTTTTAGTGAAAACTGCTTCATTCCATAGGGGAGGGGAGCATTTACTTAAATGAGTTCCCTTCAGAAAGCTTCTGAAGAAAAGCTCATGGAGGTCTTTTGTTGAATGATTACGTCATCATGCACCAGCACAGTTAACATTAAAACATGTGAAATTAGGTGGTAGTTACCTTAAGGCTAGTGGCATGCAAATATTATATATTATATGTATGTATATTATATATCTAAGGGTTATCTTCCCGTCTCGTTGCCACAAAACTATCACTTTGGTGTTATGGATGCATATAAGAGTGACAGTCAAATACAATTATTCGATAGTCCAATAGTTGTCAGTGGGCACTGTTGACTAGGTGTCTTCCATCCAATTTATCTTCTCAAAATTAGGAACGACTATGTGAAAGTAGCGATCGTGTAGCTCTGCGCGAAAGTTCTAAAAATAAACAAGTGAATTCTCCGAGATGTTGGGTAGGATTATTGTAATTATTATATATACTACTCCCAATATCATGCTTATTTTGATATTGATACATTTATCAATAAACACAATCAAATTTACTTTAAAATAATTTTTGTTCTGAATGTCAATAAAATACTAATTTATTGAAACATTGTGTTCGAAGCTTTGCCTGTACTGCCAATTTTTTATTATACAACTTTAAGTTAATGTTCAAAATATATCAAATTGTGTGAAATAGTAAATACTCACAATTCTGTGTCTTATATAGATACTTCAAACAGATCTACCAATCAGCCAGGAGTGGAGAAAATATTGATGACTTCTTAGGTTGTGTCACAATACCAGTGGAGGTATAATTACAATTTATCATTGCCAGTTTAAGAAGCTAAAACTCTCAGAAGCTAAAACTAGAAACCTTATATGTAATTAATCATCTTATGTCTATGATATAAAAACATAGTAGTAGGTGTTTGTGACATAGAAAGGTTATAAAGAATTCCCAACTACTTGCTATAGATACATATAATAGATTTAATACACAGGTAGATGAACTACAATTATTAACAGAATGTGTAGTTGGGTTTATTTAGGGGAACTTCTGCTGAAAAATGCTTAAACGAACAATGAAATGATTCCCATTTTTACTGCTTTTCCTCATTAAATCCCAAATTGTTGTTGTTTTAGGAATTGGAAGTTTTGGAGGTATGTACTAGATTTGTAAAAAAGATTATTAATTGCATGTTTTGGGACAATATCCAGGAACACATTCATATCATAGTATTACAAAACGCTTCAGTATTGAATCATATTATGCTAATATAATCATAAACTGGCAAACAGCGATTTATAAGATAATGAAGGAGATTAGTTGGGGGAGAACATTCTACATGTATAGACAGGACATTAGTCTGTATTTTTCAGGTACCCCCAACATAAATCACTTCATTACGCTTATAAATCGTTGTTTGTCGATATGTTATTACAAAACGCTCTTTATGTTTTGTGAAAATGTGCTATGTGCAAATATTTTATTACCACACCCATAAGAGTTGAAAATAAGAGATGTAAAGCATTATTTTCATAATGTAATTTATGCGTCCGATGGCTAAAAAAAAATGCGTAAATGATATGTTTAAGGAAAATTAAAGCATAATAACCATTTAATCGATGTATATTAATAGGTACATAATATATTTTTATGCTGTAAGACTTCGATAAAACTGGTGGTTTTACAGGAAATTCCTCCAAATGGTTTGGACAAATTCTTCCCTCTTCAAGGACGCACTGCTCGGTCAACAATTCAGGGACAGATACGACTAAAGTTGAGCCTGGGAACGAGAGAAGATCGAATGGTGACTGCTGACGAAGATAATTGGAGAGAATTCGTAGAGCATCAAGAGTTGCTATGGTTATTTATTGAGCATGAACTTAAAAATCACCAGGTTTGTAGAAATTGAAAATGAAATTAATAAATGAAACCATCCTTCTATTTTAATACTTCAGGAATAATGTTGATTTTTAAAATCTGAACATACAAAATCTGACATATTCATAAACCTAACTTTCTCCCACAGTATCATACAGTTGATAGTGTGAAATATTTTTCTGTAACTTCCTGGCCTGAATGAGGGTCGAAGGATAGTAAACAAATGAATCTTTTTAAAATTTTGGATATTGTGTATAGAAGTTCTGTTGCCGCATATAAACCTGGCTAATATGCAGTTGTAAGTGAGTTTATATCCCGAAATAAACTTACTGAAAAAGTAAAATCTGGCTGATATGCAGTTGTAAGCGTGTTTATACCCCGAAATAAACTTACTGAAAAGGTAAATTGAACAGAAAATTAAACACTGGAAATCTTTTGTTTAAATATGCAAGGCAACTTAATGTTATCAGCAAGAAGTAAAATGAAACACACCACTGTGGGTTTCACAATTCACCCGTGTGTTTCAATATGTCTAAATCATTAAATGTGTTACTTTCATGTTTGTGTTGTTTTTATTATAGGTCAAAATTTATATTTTCCGGACAACCTCATTTTCTTCGAACACAGATGACAGGTGTCTTTTGAGTTGAATTAGTTTTCATGACTGATACAGTGTCTTGAGAACTGATCTTATCTTCTAGTTGAAACTCACTTAACTTATATATTAATTTCATATTACCGTTACGCGTGCTCAGTTTGTTTAGAATGATATAAAAACGAGGCTTGATATATTATCCTACCATTTTTCAACAGAAAAGTTGACATTTCTCCTTTTCTAAATTTGACAGATCTCAACATTTTAGTTAAATTGTCAAAATCTGTTCGTGCATTATCTTATAATATATGCTTAATTAAATTAACAAAGGATTCGTTTTATTCGTGTTCCCATATATGTAATTACTTCGAAATAAATTATCAAACTATCCAGATAACGCAAATACCCAGAGACTTTAATGAATCCGCTTATAATGTGTGTTTGACAGCTTCGTTTAAAATGGTTTCTGTTTGTTGTTTTATAATCTGACAGATATATCAGAAAAATGATGCAGTATTAGAATTATACGTTTGTTTCGTTTATAGTACGGTACTTTTTTTATGTATAAAGTTTTTCGCTCGTGGACGAAATTATTAATGTATCAAGAATCATTGTCTTCTGCATTGAAATCTGGGTATAAATACTAAAAATTAAGATAACGATATATGTACATAATATTATGTTACCGAATTTTTCATTATGAAGTTCAACCAACACTCTCAATATATAATCATACCTACAGACATTATTTGTTATTAACTAACAGTTAATGCATATCAGATTGTTTAGAATATATTAACTTATATGTAAATATTACTGATAATATTTGATTAACTGTAACATACAAATATATTTTCCTTGTAAGTAATCTATACAGTACAGCTTCTTTGATATTTCTGTAATTGTTATTTTATTAAAGATTTTGGAACGACAGAAACAAGATTATATTAGAATATACCATGTAAATAAACTTATTACGTTATTACACCTTTACTCGAAAGATTTAAGATATTTTAATATTTATTATAACTAGTAAATTAATTAGCGCAAATCTTTCCCAATGCAATAGTTTTTAGTATATTTACAAAGTTTTTTTTAATTTATTAGTATTTTTGATTACATGCAACAAAATTTTTACAGGAGCCTCAGATGAACTACAATTTATGAATGTATTTTATTTCATGAGATAAGAGTGTGGGTAAAATAATAATGATATTACGGAATCGTTATATATATATAAATTGATATCGGCTAGAATTATGTTTCTGTTTGACAAAAAAAGGGTCCTAGTTACACGTGGGCAGGTGATCTTCAAACACCAGCACTAACGATCTTACATCAGCATGCCATCCAAGGAGATATAACCGAACTACAGAAAATACTTTGGTATGTATTTTAATTTAAACATTCATGTTACTTAAAAGTGTTTTATGCTTTCTTTGCTAACTATAGGAAACCATATGAGGTCTTTTTTCTAGTTTGTGAGCGTTGTTCTGATCTTTTATGAGAGTTGGGGACCGCTGGCTATGAGATTAGAAGAAACATTTCTAGGTCTCGTAAAGATTATTTATGAATAACCTTCTGGTTTCATCTCAGAACTGTGTTATTTCATTGTATCTCAATATTTCTCAAATAGAACTGTTAACCGTTCTGCTTTATGTTGATATACTGTGTTGTAAGTTCCATTTTCTCCTCAGTCGTTGGATAATGTACGCCAGAAAACACATGGAGGTTTCGTTGGATTATGCTTTATTAAAAGAACTGCTGGAGGATTTTAACACTTCGTGGAACAACTCAGAGACTCAACTCAGTAAAGACGAGGTTTGACATTTACTCTATGATTCTAACCGTGGATTAATTAACTGACACGCTATGGTTGCAGGTGTTGTTTTTTCTTAGCATAAAGCCACACAATGCATCATCTCCGTTCTATCCACCGTGGAGAATCAAACCCTGGACTTTGTTTTATAAGTCCGAAAACTTACCACTGACCCACCGCGGAACTACACTATGGATGATAAATGTAATGAGTAGTTTGATTAAATCATTACTCTTAAAAGAGAGCTAAAGTGTTTGAATTATATAATGAAATGATAACGCTAACATAAATTCAAGATTGGATCTAAAAAGTCAGAGAAGTTTTACTGTTTATTATGTAATGAAAAATAGTTTTTGATTTATAACAAATATGAGCTTAGTTATAGTCTTTCAATCAAATGATGGATTAGCGATAAGTCTGAGGGTTTATAACGCTAAAAATCGGGATTCGATATCCATGGTAGGTAAAGCACAAATAGCCCATTGTGTGACTTTGTGCTTAAAAACAAACAAACTGAACTGATATGTCTCTGTAAAATCTACAACTAACTGATATTGTATTGCATCTAAACAGTTTATTGTTGCCAAAAACTATTTTTAAAATAAATGTAGATATACGTTAACTTATCTGATTTTCATAGTCCCAATTAGTGAAATATTAGGTGAAGGAAGAGCTGCGTGATACATTCTGTTTCGTTTGGCTAACAAGAAGTCAATTTTAAATTGAAAGATTAGAAATACGTCAATATATTTAAATAATTTGTCTCCTGGGAAAAAGTAGAATTTAAAGTTAAAAGTTTATGAGGATACTGATCATGAATATTAAAAATGTGTATGAAATGTATTTTGTTACTAAAGCTTTATTTACTTGTACTTCTAGATGCACCACTCATACGTTCTATCTCAGTGGAACAAAGTAATCTTACAGAGTTATTTGTTTAATGATACGTTATTTGTAATTTTCGTATTAAAATATTGTTTGTGTATCAAAGGAAGCCGCACTAGTCGAATCCTTCAACTTATTTATTGACTTTTGTCTTGCTCGAGTCCGCAAACACCGGGAAATATTTCCATGCAACAACAAGCAGGCTCAGCACAAATTTACTTATTTGCTCAAGTAAGTACAACTTCGGGACTAAATCAGCTTAGAAATTGAGTTGCTTACTTACTTTTGTGAGTATAATTAATATGATATGTACCGAACGAAACTAATGCTATATAGTGAATTACCTGCTTAACTGTTCATGTGAGTACATGGATTACATTAAACAACTCAGAAGTGTAGAAGTTAGAATATCACCTCAGTTTGTTTTTGAACAAAGAAACTTCAATACTACCCCAAGCAAATAAAAAGAAATGTCAAGGATGCACATGATTAATCACCTGGCTTTCTCAAGTGGATATGTTTTGTTTTCTTGTGAAATTGAATGCAATATCCTAACGGTTACATTAGAATTGGGAGTATTATTTCCTTTTTAGTTTAAATATAAGTATTTTAAATGACGTTTTACAGAATATTTTTAGAAAAATCTTTGCTTTTACTCTAATGATTTCTGGAATATTGATTACTGACTTTTGTAGGAATTAAATGCTATAATAAGCAGCAACATAGTGTGTGTTCATGTGGTATCTTTTATTCAGGATTTGTAGTTATGAAAAGAGCTGTTGGGTTGAATCTCAAAACGCAGTTAAAAACATGCAGTTGGTAACGAGTGTCGCGTTTTATGTCAAATAATAATAGTTGATCATCTAAAGTATCTGTATATCATTGTCTCTAAGGTTTTGAATTTCGACCCAACAGTTATTTTCATGCACTACACATCCTGCATCATAGATAACAGTTCAACCAATAGTTTTTTTTTGCTACTCATTTTAATCTTGGATTTAGATTATAAAGCTTTCATTAAGAAATGGCCGTATCTTCTTTATTTCTTTATAGATGCATCGCTCTGATTCACAGTATGAAAGTTTTTAAACGTTGCTGCCCCTTTCGTCCCACCCTTCATGTGGAGATAATAAATACACTGAAGGTAACTTAAACTCTACTTGTAGCTAAAAATCCTGAAGCTGTAATCTAATACAAGAACATATGATACCGTATCTTCAATGCTTAAAGTGAAAAGTTTTCGTAAACTGTATGGTGTCGTGTTCGAATTTCTAGAGAGTTAGTACACGAAACATATTGTACTTGAGTTTGAGAGGCAGGTTAGTGAAGGTAGATATAGAAAACTTTTTATAAATGAGTTTTCAAACAATAAGAGTATTGAAGTGTTAAAATCAGCAAGTATATAATACAGAACAGGAAATTATTAATTTCTCAGAAAGTAAAGTTTAGACAAACTGTTGGGTAGTAGAAAAAATATTCAAAAATAAATAAGATATGACTGAACATAAATTTTAAAACTAATCATTAAACGAAACAACTACAACTTCTGCACGAACAGTATTATCTTTATATTAGTTTCACAAATAATGTAATAAATATAATACAGGTTGACTATCACTAATCCGGCATCATCGGGATCGGGAGGGTGCCAGATTAGCCATTTTGCCGGATTAGCCATCTATTAAGTTAGAATACACCAAACCCACTAGCTAACCACCTCATCTTAAAATTAAAATATCCCATAAAATAGTACAAGTTGATTAATAAAGAAACGATAATTATCAAATAAATTGGAAAATATTGGAAAGAAAACTTTCAAGCGAGACTAAAGTATTTACCTAATAGCGCGTATCTTGCTTTACTGTATTTGAAATTGTTCTAGCCGAAATTAGTGCCGGATTACTGATTGTACCGGATTACAGATTGCCGGATTAGTGATGGTCAACCTGTATAATAAAACTTTGTCGTTTTTGTATAAAAAATTAGATTTATAATAAAGCTAATGTGAGAGTTTTATGTCATGTTATCTGTAGTTTATTTAGCGGTTTCTATTAACCAAACCAATGTCTTTCTTTGCTCTTAGAAAGGAACATTAGAGTGGTTTGACACCATAATATCCTTTAATGAATCCAAGGCACAAGTAAGTTGATAAAGTGTTTGTTTAGCAAGATCATTTAGAAATAATTTGATTTTTTTTAGAAGAGGATTGTTCGATTGCAATATTTTCTATTTATTTTGAAATATTCTAAACTCGTCTTCTACGTAACTCTTTAAACATCATGTTCAATATTTATGAAAAACGCAGTAAAGCTTTACAGAATTACTAGAAAATACATACATACATTGCTTACACATTTTAAATATATTACCTTTTCCCTGTATGCGTATAAAACATTACAGTTCTCTTTAAAAACTTCTGCAAAACCAGTATTTCTATATATAAGTAAGGCTTATTAACTTACTCATTTTAGGTTAGTTTTATTTGAGCAAACAGAAGAAACAACTTATAAATTAAGCAAAATTGTTTAACATCGAAAACTATATATGACAATTTAATCATTTATTTATCGGATCGAAGAAGAGAAACATTTATTGAAGTAATCAAAGATTGTTTATTGATAAATTAATAATTTTTTTTCTTGATCAGACGGTAGAGGACATTCTTCATGGATTAATCGAACTTGTCAACTCTATTAACTCCGATGTACAAAAAGGTGCTAATTGTTACGATCATGTCTTTGAAAGGTAAGATACTCATGGACCTATTCCGAAATGTAATATCTTTGAGTTTTTGAGAAAAGTGAAAAGCTGCTCTCATAAACTTGTGATAACAATCTAGAATCATACTAATCTGAACAGCTTATAGATGGATTTAATTATAGGTTTTATGATGCTGTAATAATTTCCGTCGGGTGATACGTAAGACACCAATACACTTATACAAAAACAACTGAATGAAACAACTAGTAAATGCAAATAAAAACTTAAACTAAAAACATAATTAAAGTAGAATATATTTAAAATACAAACTTATTTATGATATACATCTTTATTATGAGAATTATTTTACGTTGTTAGCTTAGTATATGGATTTAGGAATATTCTCCATTTTCGTAAGATATTCTATGATTATTGTCGAAATTACTGATAATAGTGAGGGCACTTGGCTGATGCGTCATTATATATTTTTCATAATTTGATGATTTAAGCAACGTATTCGTGAGGAAACAATGTTCCATCAATATACGTTTTTGTTTTATGATATTATATAGACCGATATATTAAATTAGGTACACTAATCATTGTGTTATTTTAGTTATTATCCATTTAATAGTTTGCTTTGATCAGAAGTTATTGATGATATCAGCCTGGTATAAAAATAAAAATATATCTTTATATAATAACACCCTTAGCTCCATGAAGTAATTTCTGAAGCAATTCGTTAACTCCAGTTGAAATATACAAGGATTTATATAAAGGAATAAGAAGATTAACGCTTGTTGTCACGTTTAAAAGCATTTAAAAATGTATCTGCTTTATTCATATACAATAATATATTTTTGTTTATAGTCGCAGAAAATCTGTATACCGCCCTTTAATTAGCTGTTAGTGTTATGTTTATTGGAAAGGAATCAGACGTAACAGTTGCGTGCAATATAAGATGTTAATCTTCTCATAATTCAATTCATTTTAAATATTAACAAACAGAAATCTCAAGAAATATGTTCAAACTTTGAAAAACAGACATTTGTGTTTCTTAATAAGCAATAAAACACACAAAATATATTTATTTTGTAACAAATAAATATGGTAATATGGGAGGGATAATCTTGCACTTAAAGTTCAAGACTCGTGGAAGGTTTCATTTCTTATTAGTAACTGTTGGGTTGTAAAGACACAATTTAAAGTTTTAAATACACTAGTTTAAAGTATTTTTGGTGGAACATGGCAACAAAGAGCAAAGATAAATATTTTCTTTGTAGCTTGATTTTTGTTAGTTTGTGTTCAGTACGATAAACTTATTACTCAGCTTCTGTTGTGCACCGCCGTATTCAAGAAAGCTGGTTCCGATGAAAACCAGTAAAGTTAGTGTTAGTGAGGTTTTTAATGGCGCTTTTCTGTTAAAAATTCCTTAAATATCGTAACTAAACTATAAGAATGTCAGAAATTAATGCAGCATATACATAAATAGTGTTTGAACTTCTTTTTGAGAATATGTTAGATAGACGAGAGATTATGCTAGCTTGTGGTCAAACTCCACCTTGTTTGTAACTTTCTCGTACGGATCGAAAACTAATCGCTTCCAAGGTCTTCATGTTCGTAGTAGTTTGAGTTACATCGACATGTTGATCGTTTTAGCTCCAGATTTTCACTGTAGTATAATTAAGTGTTAAATAATGTTTTGTTTATTTTTAAAGAAAGATTTGTTTCTAACACAGGCCTCACATATTGCACTATTTCTTTGTCTCACTATAGCACATCCATTATTCATGTAGTGTTAAAATAATCGCCCACGGATTTCTTACTGTCTATCTATTTCCGTAGGCAGTTTTTTTGATTCAGTAAGTTTACAAACATGAAACCAGTGAACACTGAATATGATCGTGTTTATTTGTTTTTCTTTTTTTACTTGTTTTTTTTTCGTTGAATTTTGCCTTTGATTCAAATTCAAAGCAAGACATATAGAATTACTTCAAGTTTATCAATTATTAAATATTGAAGCTATGCCCCAGAACATGTATTGATATCCTTGCTGTCAAAGCATGATTTTAAAAGGCTTAATAAGTGTTAATGACAACCACGTCTGTCACTATAGTAACAAACATTGCAATTACCTAATGGTAACTATTCCAATTTAACCTTTCTAGCAACTGAGCATTAGTTTTAATATTGATTAATCCATTAAATTAATATCCATTGCTAAAAAAATCTGAAACAAACCGTAGCCTGTTTTATTCCTTAGTAGTCTAACATTGTTATGTTAATTAATGTTATAAAAAGTGAAATTCATAGGCAAGAGCATCTTTTTTTCTTCTCGCAGCAATGTCGAAGTCAACTATACAAGTGTGATTTATAAGAACTTAGAAAAACTGGTAAGCTTACTTGTAATTTCTATGGGTTGTAGCAGTTTTCATTTATTTTAATACGAAATAATTATAAAGAGAACATCACATTTTAATGACTACCTATTAAAACCAACGTGTCGCGAACGAACTAAATTTCACAATGGAATTGAACATGAAATTTTCTTTATAAAGTTTTGTCAGTGTCGATAGCCTTTCCTTATAAATTTGATTCGTGGCATTTTTTAATATTTACAAAGGTGGTAACATATAGGTGTTTTGAAACGTGTTGTTGAACTAAGAAACATTTTTGATAAACTAATATATGTAAGAGAAATAAAATACCTTTTTTCGGTTTCCGTTAAAATATAGATTTCAGTTCGCAAAATATCATGTTTAGAAAATGTTATAAAATCAAAGCATATTAGGAAAACAGTTCATCGTATGAGCAATATATGATAAACTGTGTTGTAACATTTGAAATATTATCCGGTTTTTAAAGAAAAACGTGCATGTCTCAACTACTTAAGATAAGTTATAATCTTACAGCCTAACCCCATTGATTGTTTTAAATGTCATCAATAAATAATAGAGTATCTTTTGTTACACGCTGCGTGGTGTGTAGTCAGCGGACCATGTTTCCAAGAAATTACATGAGGTATGTCTAATCATGGCATATAGTTTTTTGAACCGTTTTCATTCTGAAACCAGTCTCTTGTTTCCTCATAATGTTTTTTTCCAAATATGGTTTTATGAATATGAGAGATTGCTGAAAATTCAAGTCAGTTTTCTAAACATATCTTAGGTATTAAAACACTTTTGATTTGAATTAATATTTTTTGTTTAAATAATGTGTAAGTTTATAAAACAGTAATGTGTTTTAGGGTTAGAGTTTTATGGTCTCCTAATACACTTTTAGTCTTTATGGGTAAAACAAACTCCATTGGAGAAATGTTATCTCTAGATAGGAGAAACCACTTGTAAGAGAGCAGAAGGCAGAAACAAAACTTCGAAGGCAGATGGAGGGAAAGAAACTCAAATAAATATAAGCACTGCTAAGTTTGAACTCTATATGTCACTCCAGGAGTTCGTCCGTTTTCAAGAAAAACTACCATCAGAGTAAGTTTCATCAACTTTTGTTAATATTGTCTGAAATTATAGTCCTTTGCCGTTATGCTCTAAAAACAACATATTACAAACCAAGTCTTTCATTAACTATTATTATAAATTTCTAGAGAAAATTAATTGCGAGAAAGAAGTATATCAATTACTTTTGTTAATTCATAAGGATAAGCGTTTACCAAGCTACCTATCACCAACCGTCGTTATTAACCTCTAAGAACAAAATAAGTTTCATGTAATATATTTAATTAATGTCCAAGGGAAAATAATTATAGCAGGTGCTAGCAACCGTTTTGACTTAATTAAAAAGGCAAAGAAGTACCAAAGCACATTTTATCAATGTAGTCATCAACTTTTTAAGGATGAAAAATTACCAAAGAGACTTTCGTAAACCATAAATTTTAATCTCTTCGAACTATATATATTACCAGAGTAGATTTCATAAACCACTGGTATGAATGTCTTCTAACAAAATATAAGTAGCTTAACATTCATCAATAATCTCTGTTAATCTCGAAGAACAAAATATCACTCTAAAAGGTTTCATAAGCCATCATCCTTATCATGTACATACAAATTATCACCAGAGTAAGTATGGATGATCGGAGCTTGTCTAGGAGTTAAACCAAACAAATAAACCTGAACACTTTGAAAAAAAAGAAGATCATGCTTTTATAGATCGTGCTACTGGAAAACGTATTCTAAATTGGCTCTAAGCAGCTTTGACCACAACAGTAAAGAGTACATACCATTGTTGCTTACATAGTTGTACGAATCCGTATCTTCCCTTATGAGCTTTATACCATTGTTGTTTACATAGTTGTACGAATCCGTATCTTCCCTGTGTACCATTGTTGTAGATTTGGTTATGCTTATCTTGATTTTTTGTGTGAACTTCATATTCTTAATGTATACACGGTTGTATGTGACCCTATTTCTCAGTGTGTTCGGTATGCCGTTAAAGTAGGAGTAAGTGTAAAGAATAATAATGGTTGGAGACGGCTCGAATAAGTGTAAAAAAACCTTTTCCATTCGCACCATTCGAATATTGCTACACTAAATAAGACAAGAAGAGGATCCCCGTGACTCTGTACTTGTAGTAGTATGTCGCTACAATAAATCTGTTCTCGTACTAGTACATCACTACAATAAATATGTACTTGTAGTAGTATGTCGCTACAATAAATTTGTTCTCGTAGTAGTATATCACTACAATAAATATGTACTTGTAGTAGTATATCACTACAATAAATATGTACTTGTAGTAGTATGTCGCTACAATAAATTTGTTCTCGTAGTAGTATATCACTACAATAAATCTGTACTTGTAGTAGTATGTCGCTACAATAAATGTATGTTTAAGACTTTCATCTCTTCGTACATGTGGAATATCTCTACAATAGATATAAATGTAAAAATTCTCACCTCGTTGTATGGAACGATTACTGCTACGGTAGATGTAATTGTAAGGATCATCATCTCTTCGTAAGTATAAATATAATATTACAGTAAGTGTAACGTAAGGATCATCATCTCTTCGTTCGTGTAGTATACCGCTACAGTAGTTACAGCTCTAAGGATCAACATCTCTTCGTACGTGTAGTATAATTGTACAGTAGCTATAATTGTAAAGATCGTCATCTTTTCGTACGTATAGTACAATTCTACATTAGCTGTAATTGTAAGGATCATCATTTCTTCGTACGTGTAGTATACCGCTACTGTAGCTATAATTGTAAAGATCGTCATCTTTTCGTACGTATAATACAATTCTACATTAGCTGTAATTGTAAGGATCATCATTTCTTCGTACATGTAGTATACCGCTACTGTAGTTGTAGCTGTAAGGATCATATCATTCTTCGTACGTGTAGTATACCGCTACTGTAGTTGTAGCTGTAAGGATCATAATCTCTTCGTACGTGTAGTACACAATTCTACAGTAGTCATTGTTGCCACGATTCTAATTTCTTTGCATGGACAGATAGCTCTACAGTAGCTATAGTTTTAAGGATCCTCAACTCTTTGTACGGTTGTAGTATTAAAGATTCTAAGCTCCTTGTACGTAAAGCATATTACCACACTATAGATGTAACTATGGTGTATACCCATAGGTTCCTTTTTTGTAGTTAAATGTTCTGATCAACTAAAATAAAAAATATCAGATGAGGTATACTAACAATATAATTGACACGTGAGATATAAATAGAAAACGCTGCAAATGACGACAGATGTAGAAAATAAGGATAAAACGTGTCCAACCTTCCACTTCAAAAGAGATGGTAGTAACGCACTAAATGAATTGATATATATATATATAGGATACATACTATTTGCGATTTTAGTTCATCAAGACCTTTAATTTTTATAATGTTATTTTGAGCCTGTAACCTACTTGAATGTGTGACTAATCTTTTGTCTTCACAGAGAGAAGAAACATCTCGTTATGTCCAATTAATACTTATAGTTCACAAATGACATGAACTTATGGCTCACTGTTGTTAAGTTGAAAGCCTGTAACTTATTGAATTTATAACTAATATTTTTATCCTCACAGAGACAAGAAACATCTCGTTATATCCAATTATTACACATGGTTCACAGACGCCATCAACTTATGGCTCACTGTTGCTAAGCTGAAAGCCAAAGAAAGAGTGAAGAAAGCATTGGAGCTAGATAAGGTGACGACCATATACTTAAGCGCGTTCTTTGCTGTCAGAAGAAATCTCAGTGGAACATTATTTAGCATAGACTTTTCTGGCCTCATTTATTCTCGACTGATAAAGGCAGCAGTTCTAGCTATTAACAAGAGTTATTCGATTTTCACATCCATTAGTGGAATTTGTTCTGTTGTAGGACCTTGTTACAAAGTTAAACAAAACGAACTGACTCTTCTTCTACTAGAATAATTTACTTTAACTAAGCCAAATAATAATAATACAACACTTAAACTACAAATATAATGTATAACACCTTTTGTCCCCACGTGGAATTTTTTATAAGTGCAACATAGATTTCTTAGAACTATATCTCAGTGTTATTGAATTTTTATAAGTGCAACATAGATTTCTTAGAACTATATCTCAGTGTTATTGAATTTTTATAAGTGTAATTTAGAGTTGTTGGAACAATATCTCAGTGTTACTTTGAGGAAATAAATTGTTGAGTAGAATGACAAATATATATTTTTTGTTTAAGAACAGCTACTTAGTTTAAAGATTTTCTGAAAGATTGTGTCTGTGATTTCACTTTGTTTAGGACCGTAGTTATACTTGCAGAGTCTCGAGCCCCAAAGTACTTACTATAGAAATAAGATTTTTATTTTATAATAAATATTAAAAACATATTAATGCCAAAAAACAACTTTAATTACAGACGTTTCGTTAAATTCCATCATCGGAGTTAAAACTCAGAAAGCTAGTTCCCAATATTCTAACTACAAAAACAACGTTAGCTATTAAGAGAGTAGTTTTTATACAATCAAAATTCTATAAAGAACAGATTTAAACGATAACAGTGTAACGGAGTGTACTATAAGGTACGGCATACATATGTTTGATATGTTATAAAGAAAGGCTTAAATATAATTATGAACGCTGCATCTTCAAAGAAAAAATAAAGATGATGGTAATAAAATAAATACATGGGAACTTCAGCTAGAAGGGGATAAAAGCTAGCTAATCCATCTGAGTCTTGCATTCATTACACAGTGAAAATAAGAACCATCCCATCCCTCTTGAAAAATTTAAAATTCTCGACTCCAGAACCACAGAGATTACGAACTCTATTAAATGAAAGCCTCTCCGTTTTCATTGATCACCCAACACTAAATAAAAACATCAACTCCCTGTTGTCATTAATTTAATCAATTCCAGATTCCCAATGTTTTTATTTGTTTGTTATTATTGTATTTTTCGTTGAAGATGTAGCGCTTATACATATATTTAAGCCCTTCTTTACAATGTTTTATCATAACACACTTGAATGAGTGTTGTTCCGCAAGACGTCAGAAGAAAAACGTGGATAAAAGATAATAAAGAACAAATCTACACATCTAAATAAAAACGTTTTCTATTTTTATTTTGTGTAATGTTTTGGGCAGACGCTCTTCATTAGGCCGTAAAGACTGAGTTACAATGGAATTAAGCTCAGAACCACGAACCTTGGGTTCATTGTTTGGCACATCGACTACTAAATCACGCCCAGCCCACTAGAGTGATAGTAATTAGTTCATACCTAAACACAATATTGCCAAAAATGGTATCTAAGTCTGCTGAGGTTAAATTGCCCTAGAGATTTATGGTGTTTTACAAAGGTTATCTGTGCTTTTTTGGTGTTCGGAAGGCTATACTCTAAGAACGTGCACCAGCCGGTGTTTTAATAGGTTAATTCTTCCACAAATTATTTTCAAGTTCTAAATTATTACATATATCTATCTATCTTGTGAACTTTTCTATCATTGATATTAGATAGTTAATAAACAGTGTTACCAGACTATCGAATTCATTATTACCACCCAGCCGTCCAAGAAGTTTCTAGGCACGAAAAGCGCATGCTATCTGAACAAAACATTATTACAAATCACTTTGAGAAGATTAACTTGCTGTGAAAAACAATGTCTGGTGGAAGAATCCCTCACAACCTAAAATTTTAGATTTCAGGAATGGATTTGGCGCAATTCTATGCGTTTTGCTGGTTAAATATCCTTATAAATTTATAGTGTTTTATAAAGGTTATTCACTGGATTTTAATAAATAACTCACTAGATCTAGATACTTAACTAATTTATTAGAAACAACATTATTGCAGTTATGAACAATGCAACAATACTAAAACAGCTTATATTATATTCTAGTCATAATTAATTTTAGACAAACAATAGACAAGATACCAACACTTGAACAATTAAAAGTACTAACCTAGATTACTTAAAACCTTTTTGGGGACTTATTAATAGTATTAAAAGAACAGCTTACGTTTGTTGTCACAGTCTAAAAGTTAATTTATTCCTATATATTCACCATAAAAGAAAAAGAGAGATAATTTTATAAATTGTACGAAATTTCGCACGATTTCCGTAGATTTAACACAAAAATCAGTTTTTACCACAGGATTTAATTTTTCCAATGATCGTGGAAATTTACAATGTAGTTCAAAGTTTAAATTTACAAGTTCCACGAAGTTCAAGTTTCAGTTGTCTTAAACGGTATTTTTCACGATTTTCTAAAGAAGCGTCATACCATTAGAGTATTTACAATGTTGTCAAGTGTTTAATATGTTTCAGAAGGATATTAACTAAGTTTTGTTTTATTTTTCCCGTTTTTCTTGGCTCTGCACGTAACAAGAAGGTAAGAACTTTCAAATATACAGTTTTCCTTAAAGTGTTTACTGACATGAAATAATTGGCAGAGAGATTCTGTAGAGAATTGGTTGAATTAAATCAAATCGTAGCTGAAAATTTAATATTTTGATTTAGGGTTAAAATGATATTAAATATTCTACATCGTTAAAGTAATACCAGATTTGTTTGCCCTGTCATTGAATCATTACATGTAGCGTATTCTTGATGCCTGATTATTACGAAACCTAGTACTTCCTGTTCTAGTGTCATTTCAGACTTCGTCAGTAATTAATTCCGTAATTACTCTGCTATTTACGTTAACACTTTAAACAGCTTAACAAACGGCATTTAATCTCGTGAGAGTAAATTTCAAGGTCATGACCCAAACACAACAGGGAAAAAGGACACAATCTTGAAATTGCTAAACACGCGTTAGAGCAAAAGTTCTCTGCTGTAACGGGGTTAACTTGAGAAATGTAGAAGCTTTGGGTCTTGACGCGTTGCGTGAATTCCTTCGTGATTGTAAAGTGTATAAAAATACCAGTGAAGAAGTTCATGGTTATGATGAGACTAAGTTCTTTGGGGTTAAAAGTTTTATTGTTATGATAAGATAAAGTTCTTTGGGGTAAGAGTTTTATTGTTATGATGAGATAAAGTTCTTTGGGGGAAGAGTTTTATTGTTATGATGAGACTAAGTTCTTTGGGGGAAGAGTTTTATTGTTATGATGAGATAAAGTTCTTTGGGGGAAGAGTTTTATTGTTATGATGAGATAAAGTTCTTTGGGGGAAGAGTTTTATTGTTATGATGAGACCAAGTTCTTAATGAAGAGTTTTACGGTCATGTCGAGGCTAAGCTTTCGAGTAAGAGTTTTACGGTCATGAAGAGACCAAGTTCTTGGTGGAAGAGTATACGGTCATGTCGAGGCTAAGCTTTCGAGTAAGAGTATTACGGTCATGTCGAGGCTAAGCTTTCGAGTAAGAGTATTACGGTCATGTCGAGGCTAGCTTCTCGAGTAAGAGTTTTACGGTCATGTCGAGGCTAAGCTTTCGAGTAAGAGTATTACGGTCATGTCGAGGCTAAGCTTTCGAGTAAGAGTATTACGGTCATGTCGAGGCTAAGCTTTCGAGTAAGAGTATTACGGTCATGTCGAGGCTAAGCTTTCGAGTAAGAGTATTACGGTCATGTCGAGGCTAGCTTCTCGAGTAAGAGTTTTATGGTCATGAAGAGACCAAGTTCTTGACTAAGAGTTTTACGGTCATGACGTGGATAAACTCTATAAAACAAAACACTTTGTGACAAACTGAATGTTACTTAGGAGGGAAACACTAAATAAAATTTAATTTTTCTTTTAGCTATTGCTCAAACATTAAGTGATAGTACTGTGAGAATAATACTACTATTAAATCACACCACCCTTTTAAATGAAGTCGCATACTTACTCGAAGTTCAAGTATAAATATCTCCATTATAAGAACTTAATCAAACTTGGATAATATTCTGTAGGAAACTACAATACTTAAAACAATGATTTGTTAATTGTTTGTCTTAGTGTTTTTACAAATTAATTGATAACTTTTTATAGCAACAACAACAATGTTGTGCGTGTTTTCTGCATATTACATACATAGTTGTTTCTGTTTATATGTTTATTTACTCTTAGTTTAATCCTTTCCATGTCAAGTAAAACTCATTAAAAGACTAGAGAGTTGTTAGTTTTTAAGCCTTTTTTTACAGCACTCTCTTGAGTAAAACCCGCTAAGAACCTAGCTAGTTATTAAATGCTATTTTAAAGTTTTCAGAGAGGAATTTTTCTCTCGGATTGATAATACTGTATGATGATTAGTAACTAAAAACCTATCAAAAACGAATCTGATTTTGACAGGCTTAATGTATACAATATATGACACCATTACTAGGCCAGTGATTTTTTTCTTTGTTAGTAAAAATAAAGAAATCTCTAAGAAACAATCAGCTGTGTAGGAATCTCTTAAAAATGCAGTGTAAGGCTTCGAATGCGATAAACAAATCCTGCTTGATTAATTCGTTTATTGAATATCAGTTTTCAGTACTTGTCGTTATAATTTTCTGTGGTAATATGTGGCTACATAGAAAACAGCTTCTGTAAAATATACTTGTTATCGTGTGTACAAGCGAAGAATGATTAGAAACCTAACTGTCATGAGACAATAGTATTAGGCCTATTTTAAACACCAGTACCTAAGATACCAGATTAGTTAAGTATGTAATATTTAAATATGAAGTAGGCCTAATACTAATGTATCGTGATAATTAAATATATATTTGTACAAAACTTACTGCCTTAAACTTCTAAGGTAACAACTTTAAGTTTTTATATACCCCTTCGTGATCTTTTAACTTAAACTTGTGTTTGTTATGTTAACAAAACGTGTAGTTTAATTTTACTTTTCTTTTGTTATACATTACTAAAGATACGTGCTATTGAACGCGGGTTGGGAGCAAATACAGTACAAATCAATGAGAATATAAATGAAGTTATTGATGCGTACAACTTACTAAAAAAACACATGTTAGAAACATTTTTATGGAATTTATGTATAATAGAAGCAGAACAGATATTCATTATAAACCAGTTTTAAGACCTATATGATGATGGCAAGGCTTCTTCTTGATTGATGGGACTGTTCTTCATCTGAGTATTCAATATGTCATAGTGTATTTTATTCAAAATATTATCATAAAACTTAATAGTTGTTTGTATTTTTTCTATTGTTTGTTTGTAGATAAGCACAAAGCTACACAATAAGCTATCTGTGCTGTTCGCATCATGGGTATTGAAATCTGGAGTTTAGCGTTACAAACCTTAAGACTTACAGCTGTGACACTTGGGGGAACTTTTTCTTTTGTTTCTAAGGGGAGAGTAAATCATGATTATGTTTTAAGATCTTTTTAAATACTTCGTCTTTTTTGTTGCTTAAATAATAATTTCATTTATTAGACTTGTATAATTTCTTGACGTGTTACATGAAATGTCGAAATGATTTTCTTTCACCCAGATTCAAAGTGTGGATTCTTCAGTGAAGTACAGTACTTCCTCTGTGGACATTGTTGCGTGTTTTGCTCAGGTAAAGTTATTTGAGAGCGTCCTGAAGCTCACCGTTTACATATCTAAGCCTTTCAAATATACTTGTTTTCTGAGATATGCCAAGATTTTGAGTTTCATACTGAGGCACAAGATTTTTTTTTTCCTGGTGATGTTTTGCCTTGCATGTTAAGGTTTCCCAAAATTTTCATGACAGTGTTTTGGTCTGCATTTTCAGGCTTCATGAGTTCTTATTGATGAAGTTTGTCCTGTATGTTCAAACTTCATGAGCTTTTACTGACAAATATTTTGGTCTGCATGTTCATACTTCACGAGTTCATACTGACGAAAATTTGGCTCACATATTAAATTTTATTCATTTTTACTGATGATGTTGTAACGGTCTAAAATATCACGCCGCTTCAAGAAACAATTCATTAAACTGTAACAATACTTGGAGTAAAATTTAGCATAGTTAATAAACACGTGCCTGACTAAGACATTATACAAATATTAATGAACAATAAAATATAAATATCAATATTAATTATTTCAAGTAATGAAATCAGGAAAAGAACGAGAAGAAAAAAACTAAATTCCAAAAACGAACAAACAAAAAAACAACAACACAAAATTTCAAAATCACCTTACTATCTAATAACGCTATTGAGTGACAAACAGTAATTCACTAACTATCTCGTGACTCAGTTTATGAACCTTATGGCAGGATAATTATTCACTGCTTAGGTCACGAGATTACATCTCATGTGATCATAAATTTACATAATTCTTTGCTACATTAATAATATCTGTACGTCACCACTAGTGAAGCTGGTGCCAATTTAACAATGCATGCATATTTACTCAAAATAAACATGATCAGCAAGAAGGTGAGTTAGCGTTTTAATGTAATTAAAAATTCATAGATAAACTAAACGATAGAAGGAATAATAAATAAACGATAGACAAAACCATAACTACAACAAAAAAACAGAATTCGCTATCTCACAATGTTTTGGTTTGCACGTTCAAGTTTCATGAATTCTTATCGATGAAGATTTGGCCCATATGTTAAAGTTTTATGAGTACTTATTGACAATGTTTTGATAATCATATAAAAAAGTTTGGTTTGGTTTTTACATAAAACGTTTTGGCATTCGTGCAATTTTTTATAGGTAACGTTTCAGTCTCCATTTTAAGGTCTCATTAACTTTATTGAATATATTAATATTTTTACTTTTCGTGTCATCAGAATAAAAATATCGCGGAAATAACAAAACAAATACATGTAAAAGTTTCGGACATCATCGTAACTAATTGTCTTTTGTTTCACAAAACTTGTTACATCATCCTATATTTTTACTTTTGGATTAAATATGTTTTCCTTTTGAAACAGATAATTAAACTATATATATGGTCCATTATTTTCGTTTATTTAATTGAAACAATAATATATATATATATATATATATATATTACCGTTTTACTTAAACTAAAAT